CTGGGAGGAGGGTAGAGAGAATAGTGCAACAATGAATGAATGGAAACCCAAAATCTCTGTAAATGTTTATGAAAATTAATAAAATATAATTATAGAAAAAGAATTTCAGCTATTTATACCACCAAGAGATTCTCGATAGCTCAAAAAAGATCTGCATGTGGCGAGACAGGAACTCTTTTACATTCTTGGTTGGATTGCAAAATGGTACAACCACTCTGGAAGGGAGTTCGGCGCTTCCTCAAAAAGCTGAACATAGAAATTCCATGTGACTCAGTTATTCCATTGCTTGGAATATAACCCAAGAAAATGAGAACAGAGGCTCAAACGGAGACTTGTACACCAATGTTCATAGCAGCATTATTCACCATCGTGAGAACATGGAAACAGCCCAGATGGCCAAACACAAACAAATAGATTGAGAAGTTGTGGTTCATTCGTGCAATGGAATATGACACAGTACACAGGAGCAATAATTTTGTAAATTGCTACCTTATTTGGGAAGGACTGGAGAGCATTATGCTGAGTGAACTAACTCAGTCCCACAAGGACAAATACTGTGTAAATTCATTATTGTTGTAGAATGAGTATGAGGATCCGAGGTGGGGTAGGGTGGAAATAGAGGTGTAAGGATGGATGGGGGGAAGGGTGTTAATCATAGGGTTGCACAATTTGATGGGTGAGTGGAGTGAAGGAAATGGGAGGGATCTTTTATGGAAAACAATGTATTCAAACTTTGTAAATAAGTCAGTATAAAATTAAAAAATAAATAAACAAGAAAAAAATTATGTGCAAAAAGGAAGATATTGTTTTGGACTCAGGAAAATCTTCATGTCAATATGAGCAAAAAAGGTTTGTTGAAAAATCACTTAATGAGCCCAGTCTGTGTCTCTAGGAGGATTATGGGCTTAGCGGACCATATCTGGACAAGCCAACATATAAAAGCACAAGACTACAGCCAGCTGGCTACTCAGATGGACAGTCAGGAGGAGGTCTCAGCATGCAGATGATGACTGTGTACCAAGGGTTTATGAACAATGGATGCAGGAGTGCCTGTATCTTGTGTTTGAGGGTAAGCTGCATAGAAGAAAATGTCAATCTTCAAAACAACTATGAGATATCATCTCACCCTAGTCAGAATAGCAAAATTTAACAGAACAGCAAGCAACAAAAGCTGGTGAGGTTGTGGAGAAACTGGAACCCTTATTCACTGTTGGTGGGAGTATAAAATGGTGCAGCCACTATGGAAAGTGGTGTGGTGCTTTCTCAAAAAGTTGCAAATAGAGATACTGTTTGACCCAGTAATTCCACTACTGGGAATATCCCCCAAAGAAACCATAACTGACATCCAAGCAGATATATGCACACCCATGTTTATCGTAGCTTTGTTCACAATAGCAAGGAGCTGGAAACAAACTAAGTGCTAATCAACAAACAAATGGATAGAGAAACTGTGGTATATTCACTCAATGGAATACTACGCTGCATTGAAAAACAAGGAACTCATGCAATATTATTTAAAAATGGGTGGCCCTGGAGGACATTATGCTGAGTGAACTACCTCAGTCACAAAAGGACAAATACTGCATAGTGCCACTGTTTTAAACAGGACTGACCTTAGGGTTAGGAAGAGACTGAGAAAGATGGGATAAATAATGTATAATACATTGAAACAGATGAAGGGCAAAACTGTTTAAAAGGGATTTGTGAATTAGGCATTATCGTCATGACAGGAGTCCAGAACGAAGGCTGCATAGTGGAGTGGACCTGGGGAGAGGGATTGTAAAACAATGAATTTTTCTTTTACTTTTCAAAGAGAAGAGTGGACTGGGGGGAGGGGTGGACAGGGAGAAAAGTGCAACAATGAATGAATGAATTGAAATAAAAAAAAATGTCAGTCTAAAGTGATCATAAAGGGACTTGCTCATGACAGCCAACTAACGGGACAACAGATCCCCATAAAAACAATCTACCAGGAACCAATGAGACATCAAGAGCTGACTACAGGACAAATTAATCCTTTCTGAGTCCTGGGGTCTTCATTTGTAAAGGGGATGAGGTTAAGAAACACAGGGCTGGTACCCTTGGGATTAGGAACATCTATACAAGGTATCAAAGACAAAGTGTTGTGTATTGTATCAAGCATGTACACAGTAAATAAGAGGGTCATTGCTGTTAAAACATAGACACCATGAAGTGCCCATGAGTAATACAAATAAATGGCTAATGCATTTGGCTGATAGCCAATGGGCTGAAAGGTCAAGTCTACTCTGAAGTGCCTAGGAAGAAAGGCCTGGTGACCTACTTCTAAAAAGTTAGTCATTGAAACCCCTATGGAGCACAGTTCTACTATGACACACACACAGTCACCACGAGTCAGAATCAACATGACAGCAAGTGGTCTGAAGCTCCCTGAGGGCAAGAACCTTATTTGTAGTGGAGTCTGAATTTGTTTAATGTGTGCAGAACTGGAGGAAAACGCCTTTAGACATGGTAGCTTTCTCCTTGGTAGATCTTAAGGCTGAAGTCTCAAAAACAAGAAGAATTCAAACAAGAGAAACTTCTAAAAGACTCTGGAGTTTTAGGAAAACCAGAAAGAACCAATAAGAAACCAAGTCTCTGGAGGAAACAGATGCAGCATTTTCCAAACAAGCAGAGAAGGATGCTGAGCAGAAGATTGAAGAACAGAAGACTTTGACAAAGCAAGGGGGAAATTGGAAGGAAAAGCCAAATTATATGAAAAATGACTAAAGGAGACTTTGTAGATGAAGAAGTAGAGGACATGCATCTTGTGGATTTCACACAGAAGAGCATAGGTAAGCGCAAAGAAATATTGCAAATAGAGGTTTTTAAAAAGGCAGAAGAAAGGGAAGATGAAGAAGAAAATCTTTCTGAAAGAGATACCTTCTCCTTAAGACCCCAGTGAAGAATGGTGATTATGTGGCACTGTATAAAAAAAAACAAAACCTGCCAGATTTGTTGGAGATGGATAAAAATCTTCAGGGAAGGCTTTCTATTAGTCCTGCTAATAAAAAAAAAAAAACAAAACACCAAACTTTGTTATCAGAAGCTATGAGAAAAGAACTTCAGTGCCAGCAATGGGAAAGAGAAGAGAGGAAGGCTCTCAAAAGGCTGATGGGACCCATACATTATGAAGAGACATTCGTGAAAATGAGGCCCAATAACTTGGAGTTGGATATTTTGCCTTTGCCTAAAGGCAAAGAACTAAAGGATAAAGAACTAAGAAACAAGCAGATTAAAACTTTAGAGATGTTACAAGAATATACAATGAATCAGAGATCCAAACGAGAAAACATAAAAGAAAAACAGAAGGCTATGCTGGAAGCCAGACTTACCAAACTCCAACAACAAAAAAAAAAAAAAGAAAAAGAAAAAATCTACAAAAGATGGAGCAGGAAAAGAAAATGGAGAAAATGATGTTGCTGGGCCTTTTACCTCCGGAAGCAGAAGCCATGCCAACTCCTACCCCTGTTCAGAGTAGTAAAGTTGAAGTCATTGTTCAGGAGAGGAAGGACACGAAGCCTGGACTGCCTCATATCCAGGAATGGGACGGGGGACGTTTCATTTGGAACGTGGTCTAAAAAGACAGTTAGCTATCCAGGCTGAGAGAGACCTTGAGTTTGCCCCACCATCAGAATATTTTTCTGGTCAAAAGAGAAGTGGTCCTTTTGGTGATCAGTCCTGGAGCCGAGCTGAACCTGCACAGAGTAGCCTGGCCGAGTAGAGCCATGAGCCCAGTACCCCATAGACATCCTCCACTTTTGCTCCAGAGAGCCCCTCACACACCTCCACTGGCACATTTGAAACACTGGATGGCATTATATCCTATTATAAACAAGTGACTTGAATTTAAAATAAAAAGAACCTTGTTTGTTGGACATGCTCAGTAAGTATTGCTTGAATTAAAAAACAACATGGATGAATCTAGAGGAAATTACCCTGAGTGACACAAGTCAGTCACAAAGAGACAGTTATGGAATGAGACCACTATTACGTCGAGCTAAGGAAAGGTTCCACATGACAAGAATCATTCTTCTTCTTCTTTTTTTTCTTTTTAAAATTGTGATTTGAGTGGAGGTTTACAAAGCAAACTCATTTTTCTCTAACTAGAATCATTCTTGCATGTTTATCAGGGATGGGAAGAGAGGGAAAAGCAAGTAAAAATTAAAAATTAGAAAATACAGTTAAATAGAAAGACTATATAGAACAAGGAGTTAATCAAATGTTGTTAATTATGCTAATCAATTGTAATTAGTGTTATAAAACAAAAAGAATATGAATTATTGAGTTAAAATCTATATGATTTGTAAACTTTCAATGAATTTTTGTTTAAAATGAGGGCAAAAACGTTTTCCAAAGAAAAAAAAAAATAGAACTGCAGGGAGCTCTGGTGGCCTAGTGACAAGATGCTGCACTGTAGTCCCAAAGGCATGTGGTTCGAATCCACCAGATGATGCACTGGAGAAGGAGGAGCAATCTCCTCCTGTGCCAGTTGGATTCAATTCGATGGTACACGACAAGGAAAAAAAAATAATAGAGCTGCAAATAGAAAAGGGAATCATCGCTATGAGGGAAATTTAGGCCAGAGATGGATAAACAATATACGTAAAGAAATCAACCTGAGAAAGAAACACAAAGAGCCATGACCTGTGCACTGCAGACCCCGCCTCTCCTACCCCCCTGTCCCCCTCCAGTCCTGGAGGCAGAGGAGCTACCAGAGAGAAATCTAACCAAGTTGCTTTGTCTTCCAGCCTCAGACTTAAAATTGACTGGTCTGGAGCAAGGGGAGCATTACTATCCTATCAGTAACTGAGTTGTAAGCAGCATCTAAGAAGAAACATTAATGACTGAAATGAGAACCTGCTGGACCACTTTGCTATTTGCTGTTGCTATTGTCTGGTGGCATCCAGTCTGCTAGGACTCACAGTGACGCTGTGAACAACAACAGATCTGAGCCTCGCCCTATCCTGCACCAGCCCCACCATCTCTAATATGCTCGAGCTCATGGCTACAGCCCCTGCATCAGGCCATCTTGTTGAGTCGGCTTCCTCTTTCTCTGACCCTCTACATTTTGCCAGCATGACTCAGTTTTCCAAGGACAGGCCTCTCCTGATAAGTAAGAAAACTCAAAAAGATCACAGGGATCCACTCTAACTTCATCTGAAGAAAATGAGGGGCCCGTGTATGGCCAATGTGAAGATATCAGTGAGAGAAGGAAAAATCTATTCCCTGGTTGACCATCTTAATTGACATGAAGATGACACTTCAGGTTAACCCTTTGTTTGAAATACAGAGAGATGATGGGATCTCACTACTCATTTCACTCATCAAATGACTTCTAAATTAGCTTATTTTGCAAATCTGTTTTGTGGAAAAAATGTTTCTCTGAAGCCACCTTAACTACATCTGTGGAGACCAAGTAATCAGCCCTCAGTGCTTTCATTTGCCACCAAAGCAGAAAAAACAAAAGTAGTGTGAATGATTTCCATGTAGTGGCAGCCGCACCAAATGATTCGGACGCCCAGCAGAGGCACCCGGGCCATTCATCACCCTGGCAGCACACGCTTCACAGGCCCAAAGGTCTCTATCTTTAGAAAGGAAAACACAAGTAACACTTCCCTTTCTCCCCAGTGCTGGGGCCTCTGCTCACCCACATCTCAGTTTTGGAATTACCTCCTCATCCCTTTTTGTCTCATATTAGCATTCAGCCTCCACGATTAATATTATCTTTTTACACTCACCCTGATGAGCACTACAACAGAGCATATGCGGTACCCTAGCTAAGCTTACTTCACAGGCGAGCTTTTCAGGGGCTCTAAATTATTTGGCAATTAAGCCATTTCTTTATTCCCTGATAACTATGGAATCTTGTACCTGCTACTTATAGAAAATTCAAAGCAACAACATACCTGCACACGTCAGCTTTAAGAGCATTCCCTCCTGAGCAGTATTTCCACCAAACAACCTATAAAGTGCATGCAAAGCCTGACAGAAGCAAGCTGCAAACAGGATGCAGAGGTGTTCCCACCCAGTCCGTCAGGGACCTAGTTTGCTAACTTACCGAGCCGTCTTGGCATCAGACTAACTGGTTTAGCTCTATTCTGAGCCTTCCATTTCTCCAGCTCTTCCAGCTCTCGCTCAGCAACTAAGACAGATGAGAAATATCAAATACCAGTCATTACAAGTTCAAAAAGAAACAAGTCCCTTCAAAGTAAGGTGGTGGGAGGTAGATGGCAACTCAACAGCAGTTAGCTACATGTGAGCACAGGAAGGCATAGTACCCATGCAGGCAGATCCATCTCTCAGTCCCAACCTGTTGGGTCCCTGTGTCTGCCCTGCGTCACTTCCTCTCACAAGGCTGCACAGAGGGTTCAAATATAAAAAACTAACCAAAAAAACCCAAAGCAAGGCAGTTGCCATGTAGTCAGCTCTGGTCACAGCAACACCACAGCAGAGTGGACCTGTGCTTCTCCAGATTTCCAACGGCGGGCTTTAAAAGTCAATCACCAAGCCTGTCTTCCAAGGCGCCTCTGAGTGGGCCCATATTTCAATCTGTCTGTTAGCAAGCATGCCAAGACCAAAATGTCAATTTTTCTTCCCATTCTGGTATTCTCCAGACCCTAAACAAAATTAGTTCTAAACAGTTCCTACAGAAAATGTGTGCAAGATTAAAATATCAATATGTCAATAAGAACTTTTCACATACCTCATTAAAAAACTATGAGATATGTGAAAATTCCTACTGGCATATTGATAGTTTAGATTTACACACATTTTCTATAGAAAACTTTTCAAATTAGTGTGTCGGGTCAAAATCCATGGAAAGCTCTGATGTTGATATTGACTGAAACTACAAGATGCGAGGAATCTGGGCAAGGCATTCCACACCTTTGCAAAGCAAAACACACTCCCTACCTATTCACAATTAAAGACAGCAGGGGGCACCAGAGAGATACCATTAATCTTCCACCCTCCATCTTTATTATCTGACCTGATTGCTTTTAAAAACATGTTTTCTTTACGTATTTTAATTGCTGTTTTCAACTCTCAAGGATCTCAAGATCCAAACAGTCAACAGCACTGCAACTTGAATTTCTGTGATGTATTTCAATTAAAAGCTACTACCTTGAATTTCTGCCCTGAACCAATGGTAAACCCCAGCCTATCTGCCTGGTGAGAATTCTTCCTGCTGTGCTCTAATTTTCACCATGAGTCTCAAAGATACATTTCCTAACAGCATCTTCATGAAGAAGGGAGCGCAGATGCTTCATATCAACCTCAGTTCTCCTTCTGACTCTAAGATGTCACACTATGCTTTAAACAGCAGCATGTATACATACTGTGCAACTTTAATTAAAAATATTATGCACCGACTAAGTTTAAAGGGGAGTTCCGGTAGCCGTGTGATAAGGCATTGCACTGCCAGCCCAAAGTCAAACAGTTTGAATCTACCAATTGCTCCATGGAAGAAAGTTGGCCAATCACCTCCCATGTTCACAGTCTCTGCAAATCCACTGAGGATCAGCTAAGAGTCAGTTCTGACTCAAGGATACCCTAGTAAGAAGTTCACAAAGCACAAAAGCAAAAGAAAGACATCATCCTTGCTCCCAAAAAGTTAATCTAGAAAAGAAAACAGAAATACACAAATAAAAACAGCTGAAGGCAGACTCTTAGAGTGAGAATATATAGGAAGCATAGAGATGACATAGCAATTACAGCGAGAGATAAAAGAGACAGATTATGTCATCATCTATTTAGTACAGAACTTAACTGCTGCAAAAACATTCATGGTCTCATGGAAAACATCAGCCGTCAGCCCAGTTCTACGGACATAATAAGTGTGAAATTATTTAAGCCTGACTGAAATGTGAAATTTACAGTTACACGTTGAGAAACATTCTGAATGTTAAATGGGCAAATATACGTACTTCTTTGTATCTGGTTTCTCCGGTTTTCATTCGGTGTTATCATGGTATATGCACCTGTGCTAGAATGAAGAGGGGAGAAAAATGCTTATTTTCAAAAGAAACTATTCATTCATTCAGCTAAGTTAGCTGACTTGACTAGATTCCATTCTGACTGATGGAGACCCTACATTTGTGAGAGTCAAATCCCCTAGGACTTTCAGAAGCTGGTTAAAGGAAGTGGATCTCCAGGTCTTCTTTCTTTTGAGGTGACTCTGAATGGACTTGAACCTCTAATCTTTCAGTTAGTAGCTGAGTACATTTGTAAGCCTGTAAATCTTCCTTTTTCTAATTTACTCTTATCATCATCATCAAATAAGCACTATGGAAAATAAGATAATTAAGGCTCAAGCATATATCTGCCCTCTAGGAGCTTCTGATATTCTTGTCAATGGAGAACAAATGCATGGTGCCACATACAGAACTACAAAGCAATTGCTGGAGGGGGACGAATGGCTGCTTCCCGTGTCTCTTGGTATGCTGTCTTGTAGGACTCTCTCAGTCCCAGTGGCCTTGAGACACAAGTCTTTTAGGATAGCTTTAGAATGATATAAGGTGTACTCACTCCATACA